TTCCAATAGTGCATCTAATGTGAACTCAATATAAGAGAGAACCTACCTTTTCTCTCTCTCTCTCTCTCTCTCTCTCTCTCTCTCTCTCTCTCTCTCTCTCTCTCTCTCTCTCTCTCGTCTCTCTGCCACTCACCCTCTTTGTTTTGTATTACTGTGTCTCTTTTCCATCTTCTCTTCCTCTTGTATTTCCCGTTTGTCTCCCCTTCCCTTTCTTCAAATATCTCGAACTTGGTCTAAAGTACTTATTGTCATATAGAAAAAAAATAGAATTATATATAATATCTGTTGAATCTGTAGGTGCGGATGCAAGCAAGCAACAAAGATTTCGTCCAACAAAATATGTTTAGGTCATTTGCAAATATCTACAAGCAGGAAGGAGTGAAGGGCTTATGGAGGGTAAGTTACTAACGTGCTAATTGTGATTCAAATGTTGTGGTTTTGCACCTTACTCTTGTCTCGCGTTTCCATCCTCTCCCAGCCTCCTATAATATATGTACAGCTGTGTGCTGTATCACTGTATGCAAGATGTATCATATACGATAATAGGATCACAAGCTGGCATTTGCGTAGTTAATCTGTATCGAGTAGGATTGATTTTTCGTCAATGTGTGCGCTTGTGTGGGCGTGCATGCATTATGTGTCTGAACAACTGCTGCTAAAGGAATTTGGCAATTTAAATTACTCACTGGCGTAAAACGCAACACATGTTTATTTTTGAAATGCTATCAGAGAACCTACCACGAAAAGAAATCTGAGGAATATGGTAAAAAAAATCGTCTGTGTGTGAAAAAAAAATGGTGCAAAAAAATCACCCATTCTCAATCGTGAACTAATAAGAGGCATTGAGCACGTGTTGTGCACATGCGTTACTATTAATGTAACACTGCCTGCAACTGATGCATTCTCCTTTAGGTGTGTAGGCACTGCTCTGTGTCTGATGTTTCCATTACTCAACATTCTTTATTCATAGCGTGTGCACAGCACGAGAATGTCAGTAGGTGGCTAGGTGCACATGATCAAGAATAGCATAAGGGTGAATCACTCAAAACCGATCCCACTGTATTAAAGCCAGAGCGCAGCACAGCAGCCTCATGTTATAGACATCACTCTCACAACACACATGCTATAAGCACTAACAGCGATGCCATTTTGTGCTGTACTTGAATTTTAAATGTTAAGAATAGTTTTTCGGTGTAACTTATAATAACATTTTGCAACTTTTGTCTTAATAAATGGATTGGGAATACAAACCATGCATCTTAATTTTTTTTAAATGCACATCGGCTGAGGAAAAAACAGTTACGCGGTGTGCATATAGTGGCATTAATGTTGGTTAATCATACAAAAACATGCTGTAATATAGCTTATGATTAATGTTTTAATCACATTTGTCCCAGATACTGTTGTAGTGGTGACAGACCACATATCTTTCAAGTTAGTTAAGCCTGGCGCACATTGCCGAACATTTTCCCGAACAAATGTTTTTGTCTGGCAATGTGCGGGTGGACAATTGCTGAGCGCACATTGCCGAACATTTTGCAGCGAACAATCTCGTGGCGCCGTCTAGTAGCTTTGTTGTAAAGAGTCACGTGATCGGCACATGATTGGGCACAAAAATCATGTGACCACATATTGTGCTACTATTTGTTACTACTTTACAAATGTTCCTAGACAAATGTTCGACATTCAGCACACATTGACGAACATTCGACGAACAATGTTCGAGATATCAAACATTTCCGATCTTCAGAAACATTGTTCGGAACAAATGTTCAGCGACTTTTTTCACCGCACATTGCCGAACATTTCATGGAATATTGCTACGATAATGTTTTTGAGCAAAATGTTCGGCAATGTACGCCGGGCTTTAGTTAGTTATCCCTCGTAGGTGCCTAGGTGGCACATAAGGCAGTCATCTTACAAGTACTTATGTGAAGAAGAGGCCTGGACAACCTCTCACTGAGTCACCCCACGTGGATTTAGCTTGCTGTTTTGGTGTTGCCATTATATATGTATATATGAAAAACGTCTTGTTTAAGAAATTGCTACACAAAGTTAGCAATGTCCGGCTAGTTTCGACTTGTGGTAGTCTTCGTCAGTTTTTTCTAACTTTTTACAGCTGAAAAAAACTGCTTTTCAGCGTGTTTTCTCCTCCTTATATACCCTAGGTCCCTGTACACGAGGGGGCGCCAAAAGGGGGCGCCGGGAGGTTCATCTTTCAAGTACTGCTGGCTTTGTGTTTCAGGGTGTGGGTCCAACAGCACAGAGGGCAGCAGTTGTCGCGGGTGTGGAGCTTTCTCTCTACGACATGTGCAAGAAACACATCATCCACCGTGATCTTCTTGGAGACAACGTCTACACACACCTCATGTTAGTACAAATCACTTCGTTTAGGCCTAAAAAAAAGACGTTTGTTTCCGCTAACCCGACCGAGTCCATTTTAAACCGCCGTGTCGAAACTTTTTGTGATCGGCCAAAAAAAAAATTATTAAAAAAATGCCAACGTGATATCGATCGGTGAATGCATTGATTTGTCTTTGAAGTCATTATATGGGCTGTTATAAGTATAAAACAAGTATTGTTAGAATACAAAAAATAAATAAAAAAAGTTTCCTGCCTACCGTGTCCAATTTTTTTCAGCTCGTTAGCGGAAACAAACATCTTTTTTTCTTAGGCCTTACCAATGGAAACAAAATAAGGTCTCACACAAGATCTCTTTAATGATTACTCTATTCTTGTCAAGGTAAACAAAGAGCGGTCCCAACATAATTCCCACATCTAGCCCCATTTTTAACCATTACAAAGGAAAACTGACATGTCGATTAAACCTTCACTTTTCAGAGTAATATTATGTATTTTGAATAACTGCAACTATTTTATCGCACTATTTATACACAGATCTAGTTTCATCGCTGGCCTGGGTGGAGCAATAACGTCAAACCCAATAGATGTTATAAAGGTGTGGTATACAATCGTGTTCTCTATCTGTATTATAAGTGCTTGTACAGGTAGGTCCCGTTTTACGACAGGGTTAGGTTCCAGTAAAACGAAGTCGTAAAACAAGACCAAATTATAACGCAATTAAATGCTATCATACCACCCACAATGCACCACGAAAATTGCTCCATATTGCGTGTTTGGACTCACAGGCGTTGTTTTTTAAAACGATCTTTTTTGTTAGTTTCAATTTTTTAGGTAATTTTGAAAAGGTCGTTATTGTGAAGTCGTAAAATGTACCATCGTAAAACGGTATCTACCTGTACTAGGCATGTTCATGCGTGCTTGAAGATAAGGTTCTAGACTTCTGTAATGCATACCAGTATCATAATCATGCCTTAGAGAGTACAGCATCTATTACTTGATGCAAGTTACCATTCACGAGGTGTAGGGCCATGGTCTCGCAAGAAACTAGGGGCATCATCACACTAACCGTGTCAACAAGAAGTTAACAAATTGCAATCATTCCATGTTTTTCCAATTTTCCATTCCAAGTGCTCTAAGACATGTTAGGCTCACTTTAGACACTTTGCATTACGCAAGCATCACCAGTAAGTATTGCAATGGCCAGAAAAATACAAGAACGGTCAGAAAGACTGTTCGAAGTCAATACTTTGAAATGAGATGAAACTCTATTGAGGTATTTGGATACGCTTATCTTACTCAAGAGTATGGCAAACCCTAATGATATAATTTGGTGTTGCCAGACACGCATGATGTCTCAACGCAACCTGAGATTATTGCCAGTAGAGGGCGTGCAAAGTTCGGCGATTTATACAGGATCACTGGACTGTGCCATACAGGTACCTGCTTTCGTTTCCAGCTTGTTCCGTTTAGATGTGACACATATTGGTGTCTGAGTGACCTTTGCACTTCGATTTTTGTCGAATATTCACATATTTGAATATTGATCAGCTTGATTCATAAGATTGAATGACTGTAGAACGTTTTTATTCATTGTTTCAACTCTGAGTGTAACTTTACTGTATAGTTTGTTCGTGTGCTCACTCTGTGAGTTGTACAGTATTGATTTCTGATGATTGCTCTAACAACATGCCTGGTTTCAGACGGTGCGAACAGAGGGTGTTATGGCTCTGTACAAGGGTTTTATTCCGTCCTGGATGAGGTTAGGACCATGGAACGTAATCGTATCCTTTTTAGAGATTCACCATGGCTAGCTGTCACATCTGTCCTTTCTGTTTGCGGTTGTAATTATTTATAGTTATGCACAACTTTCCATTTAAAGTCAGCTGCTGCTGCGCCTGGCTTCCGAGCGAATTAGACTTTAAGATTCTGTAAATTTGGTATCAGTTTGTTTAGAACCTTGATCTAAATGTTTTGCAAGCACTCGTTAACTGGCTCGGTAATCTCGTTGTTTTATGCTTAACCTCTCGTTCAGTTCTTTCTCACGTATGAACAGCTAAAGTTACTCTACTGACAGGCGTCGTCCTCGCAGATGTAGCCAGCATCCAACCAAGTGTAATGCTAACAACAATGGGATTATGCTGAACGCACAAACATCAACCTGTATCCCCGAAAAGCAATGAAATGCCACACGACCTATTTAGTCAATTCACCATTTAGTCATTTTTGTTTCATTATTTTTATTTTAGTGCATTAGGAGGCGATGGCTAAGATATTAGCTACAGATTTAATGTAAATGGTCTAGGAGTGTAATGTACAAAACTGCTGATCCAACCAGAACATGGGCGAATAGAAACTGATTTTAAATAAAATAAGCCAAAGGCATTCATTATGTTAGTTGTACACCAGAAATGGTTCGCCTGGTATAGAGCATGCAAGTATTCTGCATTAACACGTTACATATGAGAAATATATAATACATTTCTTTTGCACTCCCTCATGCTTATTGTCAAAATTTGTTTGGAATGCCCAAAGTATCGCAGGCAGTTCCTTCTGGTGTTTTTTTTTACGTTGCCCAAAATATGTCGGCGTTAAACGATTGGAAGGACCATGTAGCATCGTGATTTTAGTGGATTCGTAAGTAAATAGCACTGTGTGTACATTATTTATATCAATCACACCAGAACAGTGACAGGATTTTAAGTCGGTGAATTCCAAGACTCTGGGCGTTTTTTTACCTGGTTATTGAGATGTGGGTGGCACCCTTGCAGCTTATTCATGTATAATGAGCGTGAACATGATCTCCGTTTTGCTTTCAAACGGTGAATATGTTAGGTTCTTAGTGAATGACTTACACAATCCATTTTTTACAATTGACTGTGAACTCTATGACAGCTTTATCATATTGGAAGTGATTATGGTATTAGAAATGTTAAACTAAATTTAATATATACTTGAAATTTCATCATGCAGTATCTTTGTGAATACATGGAAAATAGTGGTACATTGCACGAAATGCTTTATACAATTTTATAAGGTGTTTAATAGTATATACTAGTGCCAAACCACTACAATTTGTGCATAGATATTTACAAGTACCCTAATCAAAGTTATTTGGCCTTAGCTAAATTCAGCCATCTGGGATTGTAATAATATAAGTTACACAGTCCTACAACGTTCTGTTGCAATCACTTGTATTTTTAGGCTTATTGTCATCTAAAATGACACAATAGCAATAAAATTGCGTGGATAAATGAGCCACTTTACAAGCTACAAAATTCGTTATTGGTACGTTTTTCAAAAACCGATTTCTATTATGACAAACCAGCTTGTTTAATGACGTGATGAATGATTATAATTCCACTGTGTAAATTTACTGCGTGCATTGTGCGCTACAGCCTGGCCGTTTGGATGGTGCCTGACACATTTAAACGAATGGTCTTGGTTTTCAACAGCCACACACCACATACTAGAGTGAATAAGCATGAATTTCATGTCGTCAATGTAACAACCTCAGTCGTACAAACGAGGCTTGCCACAAAATCAGCAGGAGTAACACCACAATTAAAAAAATCTTTGTTTACCCTCACCCAACCCAGGCTGAAAGTTTGGGTAGGTAGGTAGGCTTCTTCTTTTTTTGAGGGGGGTCTTTTTACAAATTCAGCATGGTGTCTACATGCTCGGGTGTGCTTGTGTGGAGATACCTTTTATGTTGAACGTTTGTTTTGCTTGGTACATATAATGTATTGCCTACAGATTTATATAATGTACAGTGATACAATTTGTTTAAAAAAAAAGAATGGGAAAGATCAATAACATTGTTTGAGTCGGCCCCTTTTTGGCGGGTCGATCGGGTGAGGGCAAACAAACAATATTTTTATCATGGCCCAAAATAAAAAGATGATAAGTGAACATCACTCCTGATACTACAACCGTGGATAAACTGTAACAACGTCGAAACAACGTGTACGAGAAAAGCTGGCACGGATCGAAGGCCCGTTATTCAACGGGTGGCTGTGACGGAGCCCCAAGCCAGTAGTCGCACCAAAGAGCAATCAAGCTCGGATTCAGCAAGGAGTCTCAGGCTTCCCTTGAGACACAGCGAGGCATCTCATGCTTCCCTTGAGACACAGCGAGGCATCTCATGCATCATGAGACGCACCGAGGCATCTCATGCGTCGCTTGAGACAGCAAGGCATCTCATGCATCGCTTGAGACACAGCGAGGCATCTCACGCGTAGCTTGAGACACAGCGAGGCATCTTACGCCTCGCTTGAGTCGCAGCGCAGCAGCCGCGTGAGCGACGCAGCCTCGGTCGTGAAGCGACTGCCGCACGACAGTGAGCAGCAGCGGAATCGGAACGGCAGTCCGCGGACGCCGAAGGCCTCCCGTGCCGGCCTCGTTACGACGAGCTCGTCGGTGAGCCTCGCTCCTCCACAGCAGTCGCATGAGCGCCCCCTGGTGAGGCAACGAGGAGCTGTTAGCATGAGCGCCCCCTGGTGAGGCAATTAACGAGGAGCTGTTAGCATAAGCCTCAACGTACTGAAGGGTGGTTCAATAACTGCTACTACTGTCGTTTGTACTATTGTTATAATTATGTTGTTATTACTCCATAATTATTCACTCCTATACTTACACCATTATTATTACTGTTGTTGTTTTTATTATTACTATTACTGGTATTAACAACAACTATGTTGCTTTTCTATTACTAATATTATTTGTTCTGTTATTTGTGTTACTGTTAACATTGCTAGGTTTAGATAGTAAGTACAAAGACATCTTTCGATGTCACTCCTGCAAGTGCTGCGGATATTTAAGAGTTTGGATAAGGCACTGTTACACGCACTGTGCTAGCAGATTCTTGATCTCTTCTGGAATATCACGTCTGTTGCCTAGGCCAGCTGTTTCCATTGCAGTCCATGCGAGGTGAACTAGTCTCTAAAAATAGCAGAATTGCTGATATGTGCATGTGCGCGCATGTGTGGTTTCCATATATAAATGGAACACATCTTTGGCTGGCATGATAGACCTCTGTGAGTATACCCTCCCACAGATGCAGGATGCACCAGTACCTAAACATAGTAACGTACGTTGCTCACACGCGTGCTAGCGCAAACTCAAATGAGGCCATCCTTGAAAAATTCTATGTTTGCTGTCCCCCGACCCATGATTTTTTTAGTGGGTAGGTAGGTAGGTATTTTGTGTGTGTGAGGCATAATAGTTATTTTAAGTCTGTCCTCATGTTTGCCACACATGCTTTGTGTTTCAGTCTTAACTATGAAGAATGTATATGCACCTTCCAGAATACCAGTAGAAGAGTTATATTTATATTTATATTTATATAGACAAAAAAACAAAACTGAAACACAAAATGGAACACAAAATGTCAAAAAAAACTTGGGTCACAGCTATTTTTGTGGGTCGGTCGGAGGACAGCAAACATAGAATTTTTTATGGATGGCCCGAACACGTTTCCGAACAAGCCGATCACCTGTGGCCGCTGCGTGGTCGAGTCTTTCCAGAATATCGGATGCATCATGTTATTTGCGACACGCAGATATCGCAGCTTCAGTTTCAGAGCTCCGGCTGGCATCGCTGCGAGCTGGTTTCCCTCAACATTCAGAAATATCAGGTCACTGGAACACAAACCAGAGTATTAGGCCGGGTCACAAAGGTCACGTACAGGCGAATATTTACGCAGGCGGTATCCGTAATCTTTTGTTCCAGTGATTTTAATGGCGAGTTTAGCATGAATTTGCTTCATTTTCAGGTTACCTAAGTTTTCCTATGTCATTTGGCAGGTCCACAAGCTTGTTAAATGATAGATCTAGAATCTTCAGTTTCCTGAGATTGAATAAACTGGAAATTGAAAGGCAATGGCATCATTTATACAAATAACACACCCATAGTATTCTGATTGGTAGGGTGGTACAGTGGCAGTTAACAGCAGAAGTATACAAAATAACCAAGCTTTCTCCAAGCAGTTCTTTTTCAGCAACCATTTTGTTACTATAACAAACTGTTTACAAACTGACCATTATATGAAAAAGAATGGTCTATCAATAAACATCTAATAATGACAGGCAAGGATCTATCTATATGTTCATGAGTGAGTGGGAGCACAACATCTGTTGCTGTTTCTGGTGAGGGAGCTATACAGTGCTGATCTACTAGATGTTTCTAAGTGTGTTTACTGTAAGTTTTAAAAATCTCTGAATTGATTCCGCAGTGTTTTGAGAATCCTCCACTCCCACCCTACCCACTTATTCATCCTTATTAGATAGAACCTTCTCTGGTAGATCTGCTGTTCTTTATCAAGGCCATGGGTGCTGCTGATAGTACCTAGTAGAATCAGGAGTGAATAATAATAGATTCTATAGATAATATCTATTATTATGCACTCCTGGCACCTGGTAGAATGTATACCTCTGTGGCAGTGTTGACACCAGGCAGAAGGACACTATCAGTGTGTGCAACTGCTGCAACTGACACAGCTCTGTGGGAATTGCGTTGATGGGGTTATTCCTCAGTTTTAGTACTTGCAGTTGAAGACACCGCATAACTTCAGCTGGAATCTCCTGCAAATTGCAAAACCACGTGGAAGCACGATAGTAGCTGACAGAGCTGGGACCAGCAATGGTGTGAATCCAGGATTTTTTTCTCATTTAGTATAGACAGTATATAATGTAATATTATAGATGGGATACATGCTAGTCTAACATATTGCTACAGTTGCACATCAACCAGTCCACAGACAATCACCATACATATAGTTAATAATATATTATAGAGATCAATGCTAGTAAACCTTTATAGGTGGTCTTGCCTGTGTCCTATTAAATAGCTTACCTGAAGATCATTGAATGACAGATTGAGGTATGTGAGGCTGTTCACAAGGGGTTGCATATCTGGCAGGCTTGCAATAAAATAACCCTGAAAAGACATCATTCACACTGCAACCTTCAAGTTTCAACAGTAAAAATCAATTGACTCTCATCATATACATGGTACACACAGTACACACACTGGTCATTTGTGGCCAGCTAAATTGAGAATATTAAAAACAATCATAATTAAGTCATTCATTGAAAAATTATCATTCTTCTACTTTATTTAATAGTCACTATAATGATAATAATAAATAATTATAATTACAATAAAGCAGACACTGAATAAATTTGCAACGCACTTACTTTCAGTGACAAGGTCACTCCTCCCATCGCTAGTGAATGTAAGATTGCTAACTCTGAGCTGGTTATGCCGGCATCTGCAGGTAATGCTAGCGGAACACTAGAAAACAATTGGGAGAAACTTGCGTAACCCCACATTTCCTTGTCACATTTCCTATCAGTCGACACTATGCTGGTTGACTGCAAGGTGTATTTATTGTCATATTATAGTGCCTCAATATTACTTTTTAAATATTATACTTATTCCTGACACTATAGTCGGCATGTGAACCTTGAGGTTTGTTTATTTAACCACTTGTCGTCATTTTCTTGCCCTGGCCACACTGTTTGGACAGCTCTCTGAACTACGCCCGACTCCATATTATCACTCCAAGCAGCTAGATCGGGCAGAATCTGTACAAAAATACGCCTAGACATGTATGACTGTATGGATTTACCATTAGTGACGCTGAGAGGGTCTATGTCCCCCAGGGTACTGCCGGAACGTACCCTGGGTACTATCTAAATATGCCAGACCCGTAACCTGCGCCACTCCACTAACGATCTTAGGGAGTCGGCCTAGCCTACTCCCTAACCCGTAACCATATCAAATAGTGACGAGGGTACGTTACGGCAGTACCCCTGGGGGACATAGACCCTATGAGCATTAGTGACAGCTTTAGATGTACATAGAGTATCTCAAACAATTGCGACATTTGTCACCCTTCTCCCACACCTGTCTGAACTTGTTCGAATGCCTTGCTGTGCACACACCTTCATCACTGCAGCAGGTCCATGGGTTGGCTGCGACTTCCCTAGGTAGTTACGGACTACCCATACTACTTCCAGTAAAAGCTGGTACACTGGAACTCTGTTCTTTACTGAGGCAATATCACCTGCACAGTGCAAATATCATGCGATATGAATTTAGTCACAAGGAACTGTTGCAGTAAGCAGCAACTCCATTCCCATAGTATTTGTTCTCAATATGATCTAAATATATCTCATATATTAGTATATATATATATTATGAGATATTTATGATATATGAGAAACAAATACATAATTATATATATACTATATAATATATATATATATATATATATATATATATCATATCATATCATATATCATATATCTCATTTAAGCTTATGAAAGAATATGAATAATAGAAGTTACATGCAAAAGTATACAAGTTTCACCTACCATCATCAGAGAGCAAGACAGAATTCAGTCTATCACATTTAGCGTTCATCCTGCCTGCCAGAACCTCGGTCAACTTCCGATAATTTTGCTTGGATAATACCACCTGCAAATTAATCAAACACAGGATATATTAATAATTAAAAACATCTGAGCTGAGTGTACCAACAGGAATTTTCTAAGATTACCAATGTATTAAAAACTGGGTACCTTGGAAAGTGCTTGTGCTTCCTTTTGCCACAAATCCTGGCTTGGTTCGTGCAGAAAATCTTGTAGAGTAAAATTTTCTTGCTGGCGATCCTTCATCTGCTTTTCTGGCGTCGACTTGTAATTGTCGAATCCATGCCTCCTGTGAAACACTCTTAATGGGAATGAAGTCAACATGCTGCCATATTCACCCCTGACTTGGCAGGATGTATGATGTGAGCCTACCGGTTTATAGCGGTTAACGCCTTCACAGGTGCTTGGGGGACAGAGGGCGCCACGCGTCTCATATTCTACGCTGGATATGCTTCGGCTTTCTTTCACACCGCAGTTGTCAGTGCCGTCTGCATTATTCACACTTGTGGCCCTTGATTGATCAGGCAGCCTACTGCAATCCTCATTTGAATAAATTGCAGCGCTGTCTGCATCTTCTCTGAAAATAGACTGTCCAATTTTTACAACTTTATTGTGCTTTCATATAATATATACTGTCCAACTATACAAATTCTGTATCAGTGTATGGTACATAACCTCATAAAGATTAGTTTTCCAAGTCCAAATTAATTGGGACTATACTGAAGACAGAGACTGAGGTAGAGACGAAGTTCATCAAAGAGACAGATCAAAACTGCAGCTAGCAGTAGAAAAAGCTTCAAATTTGCAATTAACCAAAGTCAAAGAGGAAAGAAGAGAATTCCAATATGAAATGATGGGAACAAAGAAGCTAAAAACTTCATCACTAATTTATTACGGTACCGGTACTCTACACTCCATCAGTCCATGGTCATGATTTTGATTAGGCATCACTGATTCTCATTGTAATTTTTAAAAATAGTACTCGACTTACACACTTTTAGTTTTACCTCATCGTTGACACATTGAATGTATTTTGTGACCGTTGACGTTGTCGTACGTGTACGAATTCCACTTGCGATTGTGTACTCTGACAAAAAACTTTTTGTAAGGGATCGAGTTTTGCAGGTCTTGGTTTTCTTAGCAGAAGCCTTGGTTTTCCTTTTTCTAACAACGGCATCGTATACCCTCCTGTGGCAGTGCCCTGTAAATTCAGAACTTGTACTATAATCAAGCTATTTTGTCTCCAGCTCCAGCAGTGGGTAGATTTTCAATTACAAATACAATTCCCCATTTCAAACTCCGCGGAAATTACAATGCCGTTTCCATGGTTATGGGCAGATACTAATTATTTCCGCCAGATGGCGCCGCATTATCAGGGACCTCCTAAACACCGAATTAACTCATGAAGACTCGAAACGCACCTACTTAATCCTCGGAATAACTTAATCCTCGAAGAAATCAAATTAATTAACTCTTGAATACTCGAGATGACTCGAACTGTTTCGAAATGTCTCGAAATCCACGTGATTAACACACGAAAAAACTTGAAATCGATCTTTATCAGATGGGGTGTTGTATATTGGACATTATATATAATGTCCAATATTTACCATTGTCCTAAATACAATACAATCCAATGAATCCATATAATTATGTATTTTCCCATGCACATCTCTCCCGGGCTCACCCCTGCCCATTTTAAGCGTAGATCGGCTGAATAAAATTATCTTGGCTGGCAACGGTGATGAGCGACCCGAGCACCATAAAAAATTGTGACAGGATGCTGCGGCCAAAGTGAACATTTTCGATCGGAGTTTGTCATGCATATCTCTCTACGGCATGCCCCTGCCCATTTTGAACGTCTAACATTGATTAAAGATATATATATCTTGGCTCGCAATGGTGGCGAGCGAAGCGAGCGCCATTTTTCTTTACATTGGCAGAGGGAAAACATGTGGCGGGATGCCGCGGCCAAAGTGAAAATTTTAGATCGGATTTTACAATGCACATCTCTCGCCGCCATGCCCCAGTATTTCTTACGTAGAAATTCTTTCCTACGTAGAAATTCTTTCCTACACACCGTGTGCATGTGTGAACGCACGCGCGTGTGTGTGTGAGTGTGTGCGTGTGCGTGAGTACCGTGTGTGTGTGTGTGTGTGTGTGTGTGCGTGCGTGCGTGCGTGCGTGCGCGCGCGCGCGCGTGTGTGTCTTGTGTAGGTGGGTGGGTCGTTGGGATGTGCGTGTGTGCGTATAAAACAAACCAAAAAAAGCTCTGCAAAACCCAACCGTCGCCTCCACGTTGATGTAGGGTGGACAACATTATGACTTGAGTAGTTCACTGCGGCATACACAATACATGATGGGTAACGGTGGATGATCCTTATAGGTGTGACACTAATGGAAACAAAGTCATTGTGTAAGTCTAAAACATATATATGTATTTATACTCTGTATTAATTTTGTTGTTGTGCATAATCGTGAGGATGGATCGATTATCGTGATATAGACGAGGAGAGATGGTGAGATGCTGGGCAGGGCTTCATCATCATGATATGGACGAAGAGTGATGGTGAAATACTGGGCATGGCTTTATCACCATGATATGGACGAGGAGAGATGGTGAGATACTGGAGAGGCTGCATCGTGATGATATGGACGAGGAGTGATGGTGAGATACTGGAGAGGCTGCATCATGATGATATAGACGAGGAGTGATGGTGAGATACTGGGGAGGCTTCATCATGATGATATAGACGAGGAGAGATGGTGAGATACTGGGGAGGCTGCATCATGATGATATAGACGAGGAGAGATGGTGAGATACTGGGGAGGCTGCATCATGATGATATAGACGAGAAGAGATGGTGAGATGCTGGAGAGGCTTTATCATGATGATATAGACGAGAAGAGATGGTGAGATGCTGGAGAAGCTTCTATCATAATGATATAGACGAGGAAAGGTGGTGAGATACTGGAGAGGGGTTCATGATGATGATGTGGATGAGGAGGGATGGTGAGATACTGGGGAGGACTTAATCATGATAATATAGACGTACAGTTAGAGTTAGGGCTAATGGGTACTGGCCAGCACTATCTGCCTTATTTCATTGCAAAGTCTGCGTACCTACCTGAGCTATCAGAAAAGTTGCTCACCGCTATACCTTAATTAATACTGGCCAGCGTGGCCTGCCTTATTTCATAGCAAATTCTGCGTTTGTGAGCTATTAGAAAAGTTGGTCACCGCTATAACTTAATACTAGTCAGTGCCTCCTGCGATATTTCATAGCATGTGGGCGAATCATTTGGACGGACCAACTTTATCGATGTGACACCGGCGTTTGCTTCCACAGACAAGTACACGGTTAGGTCGTGAACTAAAGTGTTTCAGTGGTGTTTTCAGAATGGAAGCGCCTATTGACTCATCTGAAATCGATGTATGTGTCATTGGAGCCGAAATATCAGGCGTTGTCACTGCCAAATGTCTTCAAGAGTCTAACCTTTCAGTTGTAGTTTTAGAGAAAACTGACCACGTTGGTGGGTTGTGGCAATTCTCAGACGATGGCTATGGAGCTATGACATGTACTCACATGTAAGATAATATACAATGTAATATAATATATTTACGTACAATGTAAATATACTAGTTATTTAGCATTTACAATGTAAATATATAATACATATTGTATATATTATATAATGTCAGTGTACGTTTCACTCTAGCGGAGCGAATTTGCATCACACACACGTGCGCGCACACACACACGCGCACACACACACACACACACACACACACACACACACACAC